CAATAAGCCCAGAGGGAGGAAGTTACAGTTAAATCAGAGGAATTTCTAAACTTCAAAAAGGTATCTGTTAGCATTTAAGTTTCACTGTCTGGTGTCTGTCAGGACTAGCGGCTATAGAGTAACAGATTAACTCAAGGTCACAGACACTTTCCCGCTGAATCTTAATACAATTAGTTTTAAAAAGTTGCTCTGACTCCCAGCTTGACTTGACCTGTCACCTGCAGACAGACTTTATTTCTTTACTCCTTTGGCTGAATCACTGGTTCTCCTCCTGTACATTATTCCCCTAGCCATTCAAATATTACCAGCTTCCCTTCTTTCTATGTTCCCTCGCTTCTCTATTTACTGGTCTCAGCCATCCCACGACCCCAAAAAACATGTGTGCTCTTTGGAAGCAGAGTCCGGATTAAGATGTTCTTACCAAGTGAGGGAAAACAGGGCACCTCACCCCCAGGGGGACTGTGCAGAGTCTGTGATACAAATGCGAAAACACTCCACACACCTGAAAGTACCTTCTATTGTTTCTCCTGCTTCACCACTTTCTTTCTGACAGCCGCAACTTGACGAAATGTGATAGTGCCAGGATGCAACACACTAGCCCCCACCTCTCAGACTATTGAAGCTCGATCAGGCGTGGAGGTCACCTGGTAAAATCTGACTGGTACAAAAAAATGGGGGGAGTAAAATTTAAACAGCCCATGTTATCAACCATGTGATCTGTTCTGTAAAGGTTTGTCAGGGTACTACTAACTAAATTTTCTGAAGTGTAGAAAAAATATAATCTAAATGACAATCTCTCCAAATGCGTGTGTTATGACATATTTGTGCAATGACAAGCAGTCAAAAACATAAATTGAGACAAACGCTCTGGACATGAGCAGTCTATTACTGCAGAGTGAAGAAATATAACCCAGCCAGCTTGGTCAGAGACAGGACTAAAGAGAACAAACTGGAAAAGCAGAGAAATTAACAAAAGGCTACTGTCAGAGGCACAGCCAATGTGACATCATCACATGACTGGTGTGATTGCATTTACCCCATTACCGTAAGTATTCTCGTTCATTTCCAACAGCACTCTCCTCCCCTCATCTTCACCACCACTATGTTACGGTTTCCATGGTCACAGTGAAACAAGTACCAGAGCTTAAAGGAAATGGCATCAAATGTGACACATCATCTGTGGCACTGCTGGAGACACAGTGCTGCCTGTATTGATTATCTATCAACTTCTGCAGTGAATGAACTGATGGTAATATACCTCCACATTTAAATAATTTAAATCATCTACCTGCATGGAGGTCACCTCATGTTGCCACACTGTTTAAACAACTACAATCTACATCCTGAAAAGACATGTCAATTCCACGTTGTGCCTGGCAGCCACCAAACCTGTCTGTGCATGTTTGGTTTGCATGTAATTTTCCTACTTCAAAAGATGAAGCAGAGACAAACGAAAAAGTCGAGAAAGTCATAAACAAACATACCAACACAAAGAAGAGCTGAGCGGTGCCAGGCTCCACAGCCATATTGGAAGTGTAATTGAAAAAACAGTTGACATATCTGAGCAATTCCCACAGCTACTCCTGTTGCTGAGGTCAACACTGTCAAATTTTGATGTCACGTCTCAATGGAAATGGATGATACCTGGTGAGATATTTCATGACTACCTACCAAATGTGACTACGGCTTTAGATGGACAGAGATGAGGCAGCTTGTCCTATTTTGAGAGATGACAAATGTAGCATAGAGAGACTATTTCTAAAGCCTTCAGTGTTGAGCAGGGGGACAAAAAATAATCCCCTAGACATTACACTATAGACATGCTGAGAGCAGCGCAGCGGAGTCAGGATGCTGCAAGCTTTATGATCGAGAAAGCATGTGGTAACAGAACAGGAATGATTCCTCATTGTCATTCGTCCCATGCAAAGCACACTAACAGAAAATGCAAAACCAGATATTTGAGTTCCCATATCATCCGTCTGCTCCAGATGAATGGAACTAGTGCAAGTGACTCTTTGGCTGCTTCCCAAACTAACTACACCCATCTCTGTCCTTATCAGAAATCAGAGGGGCCTGGTTGCTCTCTAGGTCTCATCAGTAAGGACGGATGCACACACTGGAGCTATAACTTAATTATACTCTCAAATGTAATTTATACCCAAAAAATATATGAAGTGCTTATCTCTTCTCTACCTCTTGCCACAAGCAATGACAGCAGCCTTTCTAAGGAGTCCCACTGCATTGTGTTTAAAATTAATAATACCTTTTAAAAGCTGCGTAGCAGAAGATGATTGCAAAGTGTTTACCAGTCAGAGACACCTGTAATTTACATAATCTCATGTAAAAGATTTTCTTTTTAATTGTGTAGCCCAAACACTCAGTAATCATAGGCCAAAAATCTAAGTCACAAGTGATTATGTGGCTCTACTTGGCACAGCATATATCCATAATAAACCCTGGTGTGAAAACAAGCAGCAAAATCTTTTATTTTGCCAGTGGACTGCAAAATTTGAGATTTTAATATATGGGAGTTCAACAAGGAGCCACTGTCCTCACAGGGATGTTTTTACCAACTCAATTCAAAACAGTCAAATTCTCCACAGACTCAGCATGTTTTTTTGACAAGACAGAATTACACCTCTACTCCTCTCCTGAGCCATACCTTTCACATGTTTATGAAAACAACCCTTCTGATCACTTGCCATGTCACGCCTGGCAGCACACAACCCTGGCATGATAACCCAATCGGATAAGAAGACCCAGGAAGACGATATGGGCGTAATTGGGTGGAAATCAGCCTGCCGTGGAGCGAAACACATTTCCTAATGCATAATAAAGCATTCATTCTCTTAGCTGTCACGAGGAAAGTCTTTGTGAGAGAGGAGGCGAGTTGGAGTTAAAAGTACAGAGAATCCTGTATTCTTGTTCTGTCACTGGGTCGTATGGTGAAAAGAGGGGGTGGGGGGAGGGAGAGGGAAAGAGTGACTGCAATTAGATATAGACTTGTCTATATGTTGAACAATTTCGCTGACAGGCTTGTCCAGCGACAAAATTCCTAGATAAACAATATTATAAGAAACCTATAGTAAGCAGTGGCAGGGTCAAAGGCACAAAGCCCAGACAGCAGATGGAACAAATATTCCTTTGTTCTTAGGATGTTGTTGCGTGGTATACATAATAATAGAAAAAGAAAAAATTGCAATAGCAATATCATCAAATGCCTCTATATCCTTACCCCACTCAGTACTGGCTGGCAATCATGATGGGAATGACTGGTTGGCCTTTTCAAGGAACAGCAAAATCATGTCATGTGCCATGGATCCATGTCAAAGCTTTCTTTGCATGATACAACAACACATCGATTCTGACTGGCGTCAGCTGTTTGCTCGTTAAACAATAATGGCATAATATCTCGCAAAATCTGGCAGCTGGGAAGCAGTGTCACTCAGTGGCTGACTGCAAGCAATAACTCAGCAACTCATGAATTCAATCTCACTCAAGAAAACAGCTGTAGCACCCTAAACGCGGCTTGTTTTCATAGTGTCAAATAAATAATTGAACAAGACAAACTTGTAATGAAGAGCGCTTTTACACACACTGGAAAGCTTGCCATGTCTGTCAGGAAGAAGAGGGTCACAATTCAGTGTTGTCCCCAGCAAACCAGCACTTTTCAATTTTAAGGTGTAACAAAGTGTACGACGTCAGAATTAAAGAACAGCTCTTCACAAGGTGCGGATCTAGCCTGTCTTTTGTCACTGACCTAATACAAACTGTGAAATTCACTCTCCACACTCTGCATTGCTGTACAAGTGAAATGCAGCTACAGCGTATATTTAAAAAAAGAAAAACTCCTCACAGTTACAGTGTTCTGCTCTAGTTTCTTTGGCTATTTATCACTGTCACAGCTGTTGTTTTGTTTTTTTCCACTCAGCTTGAAAATAATAGGTTGCTCTTGGATTCAGTCATCTTATTTGCAGCATGTGGGGGCTTGTGTGAAGTGCCCTTGTTATAATTGAGGAGACTTTCAATGTGTCTGGTGTTAAGCTAATTTGAGATATTTTACCACAATGAAAAAAACAAATAAAAAAGCAAACTGTGCAATAGTAAGTGTATCAAACATATCAATATAACTGTGACATAACTCCTCATAAGAGGTGTCTACAGATAAACTACAGGCCTTTATTAAAGAAATAAATACTTCAATGTGGCTTTAAGGCCGCATATCAACCCAGTGTAGTCAATCATAACAATTCTATCCATTTAAAATTGAGATTCTGGTCTTCAGTTGACAAAAAGCATATTAACCACATCTTAAAGAAGCAATGCTTATTCCTCTTCTATGAGAACCAAACATTACAGAGCAAACTCTGGCTGTTGATGTTGTTTGTTGGTTGTGTTTGACAGCTGACATGCACCCAGGAATAGAAGCCCTGGAACGACTTAAGGCGATCAGATGTTCCCCCACAAGTACAGATGATGGACAAGGCATGGTAACATTAGAAGAACTTACCGTATAAAAAACCAAACACACATGCACACACACACACACACCTGTGGTGACAGTGAACATGACAACAAACCTCTCTGGCCTTTAGCTTCATAGGTCAGACTGGTCTGCTAACTGCAGCACAGCATGGAGACCTGACACACATGCTAATTTGAGCAGACAACCTACACCCACCAACCATTAGGAACCACAACGCTGTTAACATTTTACGTCAGATGCTCTACTGGTATTGCAGGGATGTAATCCAATTATTATTTGCTTTATCGTTTAACCATGTGGTTATGTAAAGAGAAATAAATGAACAAGTAGAAACCAGGATGATTTTTGCAGTGTTACCTATATGCCAGGGAAACATGACAAGAAATTAACCTCATGAAAAGGTAGATATAGATTCCACAATCTATTTGTATCCAATACTAAGTAGAGGACAGAGTAAAAGTCATAACATCCCAACACATGAGAGCAGTTCCATACGGTATTTAAAAATCCTTACCTTTAATGAGTCAAAACAGGCGATCACCCTCCCATTCTCCACTTGGCAGCTTTTGGGTGGGTGGGCAAATTTGCATTCCTCATCACTGCGTGAACAAGTCCCTCTCTGAAACTGCCGGCACACTTCCAGGGTCAGCCATTTTGTGTCCCGTATCGAAGCAATGTTTAGAGCCATGTCAGCAGTGCTGGCTGTGGAGCTGGGGTGGAGTGGAGCCACTTGGTTTAAGGAGGAGATTATCCTCTGAGGAGGTGTTTCAGTGTTCCAATAAAAAAAAATAAAACCCACAACAACTAAAACTAATGGAACATGTAGATATAAGTGATCTGCCTCAGGTCAGTGGATGAGGTTTGTCCTTGTGGACAAGAAAGTGGAGGTAATGGACTGGCAAAGTCTCTGTGATCGGAGCATGGGACTGCACTGCTGTTGATGAGTTTGTCAGTCAAACAGCTAATTGTTCATCAATCAGTAAGTCTCAGGTGCAGACCTCTGACGATGCAGAGGGGGCATGCTCGGAAACAATCTCTACCGGTTGTACCAATGTCCCAAAAATGTCCTTTGTATAAAAGATGATATCTGTTCAAGGGTGGCTGTTGGAGAGCAGAAGTGGTGCTATTTTGAGGTGCGATGGCACAGTTTAGGACAACACAACGTTTGTGGCTTTCTATTATTTAAAAGTCTTCAATACCTACTCTCTCTGAGCTTTGGCACCTTGGCCAGCAGTGCAGTAGCTCCACCTCTTCACTTGGGGTTTCTTCTCTCTGAGCACAGGTAAGAATAACCCAAAGGGTTAGCGGTGTTTGCAGCTGAGCTATATCCTGTCACGACTGCAGAGGGAGAAATCTGAAGCTCTTCAGAAACGCCCAGGGATCATCAAGAAGGGATGTCGTCTCACAAGGCACTTTCTGTCAGTGATCTGAAAAGGAGAAGAGAAAAGAGACACAGAGAGAGACAAGAAACAAACAGATTGAGGTTATTTTCAGAGTGAGAAAATGGCTTGCTAAATATCAGCAGGCGTTAACTGTGTTTGTGTATGAATGTCAGTCTGAATTTGGGTGCACACTGCCCCAGAGGGCTGCTAGTTCTAAAGGGTACAGGGCTGATGAACCAGAGAAAAGGCAGTTGTGAGGTTATTCAGAAGCCACTTGAGTTTAAGTCCCCCAGTCACTGCTGTGTGCTATTGTACCGGGTGACTACAAGCCCGCTGGCTCTCCAACATATTGCATACAAAGCGGTGAATGGCAAAAGCTTCTGTGCTATGAGACAGTGGACAAGAGCATCGACTCAGAGCAGAGATAGAAAAAAGCCCCAGGGTGCAACCCGCCCTGTAGAGCCATGCACTGAGGGATGGTGCAGCCAATAGAAAACCGCGCAGCGCAGCACTATTCCGGGCAGCCGTCCAGCAGCCAGAGAGGGACCGAGACAGATGCATATGCCAGTGCCAGACACGATTATGACGCTGCCCAGTGTCCTGCAATATTCACTGGTCTCCCACCGTCCAAATTAGATACCGGCTCATTGACGGCGGCCTGGCAATTTACATTCACGAGGGGAATGCGTGTATGTGCGTCTTGCCTCGTCCTGTAAAGGCACTGGTCTCTGTCTGGTTGTTGTCTAGGGACAGAGGGGGGACAATTGGTGGAGCTACAATCTGAGGAAGTGACCTTTAGTTTGAGCGTAAGAAATCCATTACTAAGCTACTGCGCAGGGAGCTCTTTTCTTGGCACATCTGGAAATATTTTTCTGCTAACTGAGGGAGGGGGATAGGGAACACCAGACTGAAGAAGGACATGGAGAAGGGTTGTAAAAACCTACAGCTCTAGCTAAAAGATTCCCCTTTAATGATTTAAACATATAAACCTATCTATGGAAAACACCAAAAAAATGCTAAGATGTTGAGAACAACCTCTAAAGGCACATGACAAACTCCACTTGGTGTTAACGAAGGCAAGTTGAGACTGACTCGAAATATTATGCTACTGTTAAGGGAAGAAGGAATCTCTTTACAAATTCCCTGCACAAGCAGAAACCCTAACACAGTTGTCATTCAGTCATTCAGGTCCTGTCAGATTTGGGTTCAGCACAGTATTTTTGCCTGCTGTCCTGCAGAACTAAGCTTCATCCTTCTTCTTGGTCTGTTAGTTGAACTTGGACTCATTAATTGGAGACTTCTGAATTCTGTGAGTAGTTTTGTCTGGAGGCTGAAACATCAAGGAGAGATACTCAAAGGCGGCATAAGGACAAGACCATGTACACAAAAGAAAAAATGGCCAAAATCTTTCAGAACCTGTTTTTTTTTTTTTGACACGTAAACCACGAATTAGCAGAAAGATGTTTCCCCTTGAAATCACCCACCAACCTTATACTGTTCCAAGCCTATGAATCCAGACCATTGTCTAGCTAATCATATTGTCCCACTTTAGTGCTGATCATGTGAAATGAGATGAGAAGCTTCCTGGCCCGATCGTACTGACGCCCAGGCTCCACTCTCCAAAGCAGGATTTAATTTCACACCATCTCCCCAGGGAGAGAGCCAATCGCTGCAGAAGAGACAGTCAGGTAAGAATCATGTCAGATCTGACCTTTAACAATTAATCCCTTCTTATTTTTAGAAGCCATAAGAAGTCTGTGATCAAGCTAACCTACTTTGTCATAATGTGTGAAGGGACAGCGGCGCCATTTCTCTGTGAAATGACTTGGCCGCAAATGGAGCAAGTTGTGCTAAAATAGTTGGATACCACAGGCATCAGTCATTTTTATTTTTTGTGGAGAAAGCAGAGGTTTACCGCACTGAAAGCTTTCATAATATCGAGTAGGCCCACAGTGTGGATAAGGGCTGGTTGGGATCATCAACAGGCTCAACAGGCAACATTCAAACACTGTTTGTCATGAAAGATATTCAAAACAAATGTTGAGGACTGGAGATCACTAAGACCCTCATGTGGGTGATGGTATGATAAAAATCATGCACGAACATGATTGCACATCTGCTCCCATACTGGATAGGCTCCTGTATGTTTGTGCAATATGGCCAGGGAATTTAACTGCTGCCCAAGCCAACATTTTTTGTCATAATTTTGGTTTGCTGTGATGCACAAAATCAGCATTGAAACTAGGCCCAAATCAATTCTTTAATTAACTGGTTAGACAATAGATAGAAAATTTCTTAAATTACAATTTTGATTATCAATTCAATCTTTCGGTAAATTAACAAAGTAAAATCACAAACATGTTCAAAGAGCAAAGATTGACACACAGAGAAATGGCACTGCGATAGCATGTGCATCTAATGCTAGCCTCTAGAAACATGCCACGACTCCTGCTGGAAAGCAAACTGCCATCCTGCGGGGAAAACTGTTACCTCTGTCATATAACAACATCCCATCCTAAGCGCATGGGAAACTCAAACACACAGTAGAAGAAAATGGCTTTGCAATAATGACTGCTTTGGAAAACTCTCACTGAGGTTAGAGGCAGGGCATGCAGTTTTGGTTTTGTCTGGTTTGACGTGTCCTTCTTCTGCTACATGCAAACTGGCTCAGTTTACACTAAGCTTGGCAGTCGCACTTCGGAGACAATGCTACTGGTATGAAGGGACAGAAACACAGATGGCTGGCAGGTAGGAAGGGACCGTACAGCACCATATGTTTTTACCTCAGAGATTAGCCCTCCTGTATACCCTCATGGCTGAACCAGGCTCTGTTTTTGCAATTTTAAGTCCTTCCAGGGTTAGAAATGTGAAGATCAGATTTCTACAAAAATAGAGCCTGAGCGAAGGACTAGTCTAGTAATCTGGCTCTGACAACACAGGAATATATTGTGTTTCAAGGTATTGTAATCAAATAGTTGTTAATATCGCTGTTCACTTTGACAACTGAATCTTAAATCCTGATAGTGTCGTCCTTTATGTTTTCAGCAATTCAGTACCACATGTAGAATAAAACCTAAAAGCCAAAACCTTCACATGAGTGTATCTCCTGTTTAGCTTTAATTCCTGAGTTCCTATAAGACGGCTGTGTCCCCTCTGTGTCCTCAGTACAAACAGTGAACAGACAGGGTGACCTGATAAAGCAGGGCAGAGATGTGAAGAAAAGCACCACAGTACTAGACTTTATGGATTACTGACGCTTACTAAGGCCAGCTGGCAGGGGCATTATCTTGGTCAGTCTGCTTAATTGAATGAGAGTCAGCAGGACTGGGGCGTCTCGAGTGAAAGTCATTGGCTTGACCTCTGAATACCACGTATGTAACCCATTAGTCTGGTATCTGTGTGCTCTGGCTGCGCGGTGCAGTTATCTTAGCTGCTTGTATTTGTTCAGCAGAGACGATAAGCTACCTGGTTTCCATCGGTCGTAAGCCTTGTGACAACGTTTACTGTGGCATCAGCCAGGTGTTGCCAGCAAAATAAAGTACAAATACAAACGACTATGACAGACAAGAGCATGAGCTGGGTACCTGAGTGACTGCATTTCCATTTATTACCATTTTATGCTGGCAAGCCACAGTTGTATGGTCATTTGCATGGTCAAGAGGAACAAGTGGCCAATGTTTTTCAAGGCTGTGGAGAGAGGGCCTCATTGTAGAGGGGAAATAGGAAAATGTTCAGTTTCCAGTGAGTAATGGAAAATTAGTGCAGGTTTTATCAAAATGTCCTCCATCCCTAGCAAACTAACCTAGCTTTCAGTGTGACATCACCGCTTGCAAAATGTTCCTTTGCATCTTCCAGAGAGGATCAGAGCAGGGCCCTGCAGCCTAATTCGTATTTAATACTATGGACGCTATGACGCTTATGAAATTGTCTTTGGCATAAGCTATGGCTCCTTGAGTTCAATATTATCAGGTACCATTAGCGATAAGGACGGGTGAGTGAGCTCAGCAGAGTCTATAGCAGGACTAAGCTACTGTTCCGAGGCAACGCAAGAAGCATTTCACAGAGTCAGCAGATAGGTGTGCTCCATATCATAATAGCCTTAACTAAACCACAGTGACCCAAATGGCCCTGCTCATGGTATAGGACTGGGCTTTCCTCTCCTGATAAGTGGCCTATTTCATAACACAGAACAAATGATAGTTCATTTCCATCATTTGCTAAGTTTTTAAGCATTTAACTGAAAACAGACAAGAGTCTCAATATCATTTATTGATATCAACCCCTGCACTCAGTAAATGGAATTGTTTTCCTGTGTAAGTATTCTCATCTGCTCCCTGCTTAGCCACAGGACTCAAGCAAGTCATCAGCTAATTACAGTACAGTTGGCAGCCAGAGGTGAATAGTGCTGTTCAGATAAACATGATGATTAACAGGATACCCAAGCATACTGCATGTAAAACTCTGAAGTGACAACTGAAGAAGCACTATAGGTACAGTGTAACTGTTGTGATGAGTTCCACTGACACTTTCTACTGTATATCCTAAAATCAAGGATAGAAAACACTAGATTAGATTAAAGCTCTTATGCAGTGAAATATTAAGTACAACACATCAAATGAATGGAAATCTTAAGCCACCAAATTACAGCACTTGAAAACATAAGAGCTAAATGATTCAGCAAACTCACCCTAGTGTCACAGAGCAATCACTCTCCCTCTTTCATGCAGAAGATGTCTGAAAAACCTACTAACCGCTAAATCCTTTTAATACCATCTCGAGGTACAATTTGCATGAGAGTCAATTTCTGAGAAGGGGATATCTGGCTCACAGGTTCTTGCAGACGTATCCTATTCTTTTCTCAACAGGAAGGGCTGAACTGAAGTTCCATTTTAGAAAACACCCACTTCCCCTTGATCCATGGCCAGACGTATGACACCACCCTGGCCTTTTCCATGCAGGCGATGATGACCACTGCTTGAGTGCACCAGGCAAAGCGCCTAGCACAAAGCTAAATCTAGATAGACAGCGGAAAGCTAAAGACACGTCACCCGTGCCCCATCTAACTCAAAAGGTTAATTATGATGTGGGCCTTATTAGAACTGTGAAGTTCCAGCTTATTCAGGCCATCGGCTATTTGTATCCACATGCATAAAGAGTGTCGAAACATCAGACCCTCTTCTGTACAAACAACCTTTGCCTGTAGTTAGCCCTTCTTATTTGGAAAATTTGCGCACTGAGAGTTACTAGGAAAAACTTTGGGGGAAACACACAAAGCAAGCAGTGTCAGGGCAGATGCCACACAACACAAGTTTTTCTCTACAGAGTGAAAAATATGTTGCCCATGTGGCAAAAAGAACTCCTGACATTTGCACTAAGGACAGAGCGAGTCAACAGCTGTGATAATGCCTCTCCCTTAGAAGCCGAAAGAGAAAGTCCATTACAGTGCTGGAAACTGCAACATGGATAGTTACTGCATGGTGGAAAGCTCCCATTACTCCTTTGCGTTTACACCACTCTATCTAAATTTTCTTCGTTTCTTCCCTCGTTTCAGCCTCACACTCTTTCTCTAGCACAGATAAAATATTCCCTCTCCTCCCTCCCCACCCAGACTGGTATGCAGCACACTGCAGCAAAACTCCAGAAAAAAAAATTCAAAAAAAAAAGAAAAAGACAGCAAAAGCCAGCCAATATGACGGTTCTTTCCCACCTCATTTCACTGTGTCCCGTAGCTCTGCTGTGTGCCTCTGTCTGTCTGCTGTCCCGTACATAGGAGGCACCCGGTGCTTCTGTGACACTGAGCTACAATACAGCTCTCCCTTCAGCCTCAGCGACTGGAGTTAATGACCATGTGAAGTGTTGTCATTCCTCACGAGCTGCCGAGTGCTGCAGCCGGAGGTCCATGCCTAGACAGGGATTTTCTCTCGATGTCTCTCTTTCTCTCTCTCTCTCTCAGCCGCGGAGCAAGCAAGCGAGCGAGGCAGGCAGGCAGGAAGCAGAAGAGTGTCTACTCCAACTATCTAGCTGAAACACTTCCAGCCACCACCACCCCCCCCACACCCCTAAAGCCAGCCCCTTCCTGCCCACCAGCTTGTGGCAAGGCCCTGCCCCTAACAGCTCCAACCAATAGAGAGACTGCTTCTCTGAATCACAGCCCTCTATTGGAACAGAGCATCCTAACTGAAGGGGCGAAAACTGCACTTACAGTAACAACCCCTGAATGCTGAGCTTAAAAGGTATTTCCCCAATTTCATGCCCTGTTAAACTAGATATCACATAATTAATTCTTTTTCCACTCTTCCCCTGGTGAACCTGATTCTATTTCAATTCATATCAGCGCCAATGAGCTGTTTTCTAATAGAAAACAAGCTCAAGAATATAAAGTCTAGACATATTTGTCATACAACAAAGTTATATCAGTAAGCAATAATCAAAGATTTGCTGCAGTTTCATAATGAAATCAGCCCCGTCCTTCTCTATGTTCTATGATCACATTTAACACCATCCCCCCAGGAAACAGGAGGACTGCACCACCTCCCCCTCCCGACTCACCTCTACTTCCACTCAGAATCCGTCCTCTAAACTCATCTACCCCACCACCCAGACACCCCTCTCCTCCTCCTCCTCTCTTACATTCAGTATATCATGTCTTCTTCTCCTCCAACCTATCCTCATCCCCTACCTGTATGTTTTCCCCATTTCTGTAAGATGTCTTTCAAGCTCTATTTCAATCTAATTCCTTAGTTTACTGGACTGGAAAATTGCACAGTAGTGAACATTTCTGTTATTGTTATTGCATCAGAATGTGTTTGGAAAAAAAGACTGGTTATGGCTGGGATTTGGGAGTCTTGGTCTGTCTCCTACCCCACCCATCCTCTCCCCTCCACCCAGCTGATGACATGCTGGTTGGCATCATATGAGCCGTGAAACCGGAGCGTCACAGAACTGATGAGTCAGAGATCCAGCTTCATGACTTTTCGATCCAGATTCAATAGAACAGCTGTACCGTCTGTCTCTGTGGCTCTGTCTCTCCCTGTGTCTGTCTCTCTTTCTCTCTGCCTCTGTCTCATACAAAGGCTGTGAATGACGCGGCAGCCTGGGTGTTTCGTTGACATCAGTGAAGCTAAACATGATTTACAGTTCCATGATAAACAAACCTATTTACTGTCTGATTATGCTTTGGTAGCTATATATAATCTGATGCTTCACAGGCAATAGATTTATCTTTGGGGAGATGGGGGTTGGGGGGGATTAATCTCACTAGCATGAAAAATTGTCTACCTCAGCAAATGACACTGAATACTGACGTCATCTTAGGCATCAGGGCACCTGTAGGGAAATAACACAGACAAGCACTCTGCCATTAGATGAAGCATGAACAGAGAGGCAGGGGATCTCAGCCTTTGTCAAAAGCAGAAGTGTCAATTTACACCTTCCATGAATGCAGTCTCACTATACTATCATGTACACAGAGGCAAGAGATTAAAGGAGGAGGAGTGCTTCTCAACAGCAACAACTAAATATTACTGCAAGAAGAAACTTGACTGGTATGACTGCAATAAACAACAAAATATCTTATCATTCATCCTAAACAACGGCAGTTGTACAGGTCAGTATGCTCCATCACTGCTGATGGATGAAACTTATCAATCTCTCATTTGTCTGCAACTGACTTCTCAATAACCACATTACTGAATAACTGTCAATAACTGCATAACAAGCCCTGCTTGTAGCTAATTTCCACCGGCAGACCTCAGATAGCCTACCTCCTAAATAGATTTGTCCGACAGGAAAACAAACAAAAGCCTGGCAGACAAACAAGCCGAGCCACTTCCTTCCCACATGGTATCCCCTCCCCACTTATTATCCCTGTCCTGTTTGACCCCAAACGGCTTGGCTCACTCACACACAACCAGATTTCGGATTCTGTTGCCCAAAGCGGCTTCATTTTCAAACACAAAAGGAGAATTTTGAAACAATGGCTAATTACAGCAAATGAAGATTGATGGGTTAAAACTGTTTGAAAATGCTCCCCAGCATAGAATATTGTTTGTATTCTGTGTTATTACTATTACTACTGGATAGTTAAACACGACAGGGAGAGAGAAAAAAAACAGGGCTCAGAAATAGGGCACCGAAGACAGATCAATGAAAAGGCAGCTGTCTTTCTCTATTATTAGCCATAATCAAATATCAAGCGGCAGAGAGTTGTGCTTCCTTCTATTTGTAAGTTATTCTGATAGGGCTGTCACACACTAAGTCCACAAGTGCTGAATGGATGCGTAGGCAAGTGGTGGTCAACCAGTTTGTTTTGGAGCAAGTTCAAGGCTGTGCATTGAGACTGTGTTCAAAAGTTAAAATAAAAGAGAAGACTAAAATCAACCAGTGAATACTAGATACCCTACATTAAAATTCCTACTGGCTTTGGATCAAACTATCTATTTTCTGTAGGATAATCTGATGCTAATTTGACCCTGTATAAAATCTATTTTCATACTTCTGAAAGCAACCCTATTTCCTAGCTGTTATATTGTACAGTGGATTACTCTGCTGTGGATTGCAGTGTGTGGCACTGCTCTAATAACCTTAATGAACACAATATATTCCATATAAATGGCAAGCCAAGGTCCACTTTACAGTATTACACTGATAGCTCATTTGAACTTAATGTCTCCAGTCTGCCTCACTGCTCTTCCAATGGTGTAATTTTATTCTAGATGTCAATTTGCATTTACAGAAGGACAAATTACAGTAGATGACCTAGCAACTAGCCTAATCAAAACCCATTAACCTTACCCAGGTGTAAAGACTATTGCTCAGCCAACCTGCAGTAGATGAAATGTGCCTCAGTTAACATCTCATAAGAGCTGCTTTATTGCTTCTTGTACCCAGCAATTAAATCTAACAGCACATTAATAAAGGTGTTGTTGCATTAGCATTTGAAAGTAATAACATGTTACATTTAGTTCGTAGTACACTGGAAAATGCATGCACTTTATGACAGTGATGCCAACGCCATTGGTGAATACTGGTGGCTGTCTATCATAAGTGGAACTAATAATGAATTAGTTACTATCAGAACCTAGCCCCGACAGATTTTATTAGGTCATTAGCTACTTCACTAATAGCAAACAGAATGTCCCAGAAAGCATTACAATGAACCGTGCAGGAGAAACACACGGGGGACCACGACGACGTAATGCATATTGATTTAATCTTTGATTTTATGGAGCAGCTTTCACTTGTTTTCATTAGCTATCTCGGCAGTGATTAGGAGCTAGCATAGCAAACCAGTCACCAACGACCAACGTTTCAACATTAAGAGCGTTTTCAGGCACCTTTACTGTCCAAAAAAGCTGCTATATTCCGCATAACGCCGTAACAAGTGTGTAAAGAAACGCCAGAACCAAAGGGTGCTAGCTGCTAAGCTAACTACCTGCAGCTTACCTGATGACGAACCTGTCACATCCAGCTGCACTTCAGCCGCCACCGCCGCTTCTCGAAAGCGCTATTTCGGCTGGAAGGGGACCCACGGTTCGGAACAGGACGGCAGAAAATGGACTTCGACTGAGACTTCTCACTATTTCTTTTCAGCAGCAAACTTTTCCGCTTTCGAAATGTATTTCAGTGAAAGGCTGAAGTACGCTATCACTCGCTACACGCTAGCTCGCTAACTACTTTTAAGGCTAGGGTAGGAAGCAACAAGCGATTTTGACAGTTGGAGGAAATGTTGAATGAGCTTCGCTAGGGGGTTAGTTCTAAGGTATAAATATTAGTACCGGATTTAATAACAATTATTTGAGCTATTGTAAACTGCAACTACAATATATACTGTATGCAGTTATAATGTGTTGGTAAATGTCGTTCAATTAAATCAAGGAAATCTACTTCTATTCGATAAACAACACAATTTCCCACCTACAGTAAATATGGTACAGTCCAGAGGAACCAAGGGTAAAGGGGTGGTTGTTACCTAGGAAACAACAGTGAATCTCCCTCGGGGAAAAGATGTGGCCACTGATTTATGAACCAGTGCCCGTCTGTCTGTCAAAGTAGCCTGCCATCGACAAGATGAAGACATTGAGGACATTTGTACGCTGTCTTCTCTGAGATACTACAGGTTTATCTCCCCATGTTCAACACTTCTATGTGACGAATGTACAGTAACCTCCTCCTAGTCTGAATTTCTAGTTAAATAATGAAAATTGATGTATTTTTTATTATTGTAACTTAACTGTTTTGATGCAAGAGTGATTTAATTTATTTGGCTAAAATAATGTAGATTTCTTTTGTGACACAATCTAAACTACCCATTATACAAAGGATATCGATTTTTATAACTATCATGACAGATTTATTGTATGTTATATATTTATCATATGTATTGATTTGTTGTTATTACTATTTAAAATCTGTCAATACAAATGTAACAGCAAAATGACAATAAAAGCTAATCATACACACTAAATCAGCACATCATCACCACTTGATGCTTTACAGAGAAGCATGCACATCTCCAGCATTTTGCAGCCTAGTTGCGTACAGCTGGGTGGATTTAGCAGTCTGTGACACACAGAGACCCGTTGTCAGCAAGGAGCGCAACGAGTCAACAAGGAGCAAGTCACAAATATCCCCGGAATGAGCAGAGAGGCACAAATTTAGCCCCACTGACTGCTGCCCACGCCATGTGCTGCCTATTGAGCACATGAACAATGAACATAGCCATTATAGACTGCTCTGTCAGGGCCAAGGTCTGCTTCAGTGGAATGCCACTGGGAATGAAGGCATCACAGTTAGTGAGGACACAGGCTTTTAGCAGTGTCAGGGATGAAGACGTTATTAGTCGGCAAGGGGGTAGTGTAAATTATGATATTTCATCAAGCACAACAGTTTGAAACACAGACATTAATGGGCTCAATTTACTATTTATCATATTGAATTTCAAAAATGGAGAAGTACCCTGCAGGTCGACTGGTGAAGGTAACTG